AAAAAAAAAAAAAAAAAAAAAACCAAAAACGTTTCTCTTTTGGATAATGTCATTCTTTCCTTCAATCTCTCCAAAGTAGGTTTTGTTACCAAATAAATTATGAAAAAAACTTTTGGTTTTCATAGTGTTTTGATTTTAGAGTTATGAATAAAAAAAATTATAGGGCATGAGTATTTGATGAAGACAGTTTAGCCAATCACCAAGTTCAGCTGGCTTTTCTTTTTTTCCTTGGAGTCTGAGGTTTGAACTCCGGGGCTCCTACTTAGAAGGCAGGCACTGTATCACTTGAGCTATACCTCAGCCTCTACTTTTTTGTCTTTCAAATCTGTCATTTCCTTTTGAGCTAAACCATTGACTTCAACCAGCACCTTGCCATTTCTCACTAGGACTTCCAAGTAAGAACGTTCTTTTGTTTTGTTTTTCTTTTGTTGTTGTTGTTTGTGTTGAGTTGAACCACCAGGACTGGCAAAAAAAAAAAACCCAGCCCTGGCAGGAAAGTCCATGAAATTTTTTTAGGGGGGAGGGGGTGTTGGTCGTGGGGCTTGAACAGTGCCTGGGCGCTGTCCCTCAGCTCTTCAGCTCAAGGCTAGTGCTCTACCTCTTGAGCTACAGCACCACTTCCAGTTTTTCGGTAGTTAATTGGAGATAAGAGTCTCACAGACGTTCCTGCCTGGGCTGGCTTTGAACTGTGATCCTCAGATCTCAGATGCCTGAGTAGCTAGGATTATAGGTGTGAGCCACCGTTACCAGCTCCATGAGACTTTTATTACCAATTAACTAGAAAACCAGAAGTGGTACAGAGGCTCAAAGTGGTAGAATACTAGCCTTGAGCAAAAGATTTCCGGGACTGGGAATGTGGCTTAGTGGTAGAGTGTTTGCCTAGCATGAATGAAGCCCTGGGTTTGATTCCTCAGTGCTACATAAACAGAAAAAGCCGGAAGTGGTGAGGTGGCTCAAGTGGTAGAGTGCTGGGCTTGAGAAAAAGAAACTCAGGTAGCTGGGCGAGGGTGGCTCATGTATGTAATCCTAGCTACCCAGAAGGCTGGGATCTGAGGATCGAGTTCAAAGCCAGCCTGGGCAGGAAAGTCCATGAGACTCTTATCTCCAATAAACCACCAGAAAACTGGAAGTGGTGGCGCTGTGGCTCAAGTGGTAGAGCGCTAGCCTTGAGCTGAAGACCTGAGGGACAGCACCCAGGCCCAGAGTTCAAGCCCCAGGATTGGCCAAAATTAAAAAAAAAAAAAGAGTTTGGGACAGAACCCAGGCCATGAGTTCAAGCCCCACAACTCACACTCTCTCTCTCTCTCTCTCTCTCTCTCACACACACACACACACACACAAATAAATAATTCCAACAGTGCTATTCAAAGTATTATTTGATAGCAATACTCATCAAACAACTCCAGTGTGCAAACATTAAGTGTAAGCACCTAGTGGAACAGTAACTTGATAGAGATACTGTGGATAAAGAAGAAGCTGAATACTCAAAAACAACCACAGCAAAATGGCTAGAGATGTGACTCAAGTAGTAAAATGCCTGCTTAACAAGCATGAAGCTGAGTTCAGATTCCAGTACTAAGCTCAGATCCTAGCCAAAAGTAAGTAAAAAAGGAGGATACAATAGTAGGTTAGACATTTTATTTTTATTCATCTAGTCCTTAACCACAATTTGGCCTTGCTCATATCCCAAATCTCTTTCCTAACCCCTCCCACCCACCACCCAGGAATAAAGAACAATTTTTACAAATATGTTTCATGTGTCCAATCAAGCACATACTCTGGTCTCCCTGACTTGTTTTCCTTTTTTTTTTTTTTGCCAGTCCTGGGGCTTGAACTCAGGACCTAGGCACTGTCCCTGAATTTCTTTTGCTCAAGGCTAGCACTCTACCACTTGAGCCACAGCACTGCTTCTGGCTTTTTCTGTTTATGTGGTACTGAGGAATCGGACCCAGGGCTTCATGCATGCTAGGCAAGCACTCTACCACTAAGCCACATTCCCAGCCCTTGTTTTCCTTTCTTTATGGAAATCTTGTATTCATAATTCAAAACCCAGGGCGTCCTCATCCACCTCCCTCTAAACCAATTCCTCACAAACACAGGTAAACTCTCATGCCTCTCAGTCATTGTACTCTCTTTTTTTTGTTGTTGTTGGTCATGGGGCTTGAACTCTGGGCCTGAGCGCTGTCCCTCAGCTCTTAAGCTCAAGCCTAGTGCTCTACCACTTGAGCTACGGCGCCACTTCCGGTTTTCTGTTGGTTTATTGGAGATAAGATTTTCACGGACTTTTCTTGCCCGAGCTGGCTTTGAACTGTGATCCTCAGATCTCAGCCTCTTGAGTAGCTAGGATTACAGGCATGAGCCACCAGCACCCGGTTCATTGTACCCTCTTAATACATTATGTTGTTTCTATGGCTATCTCCTTTACTAATCTATAAGTTCCTTATAAAGATACTTTAGGATTGTCTTTAGAGTAAAGCATTTCTCATAAAAATAAATTGAAGGATAGTGCTTCTTGGATGATAATTTCCAGCATGTTATTGAAAGAGAAGGAACATGAAGATCATTACCTTATATTCATATTATTCTAGTTCCAGGAAAGATTTTAGCCTTCAACCTATAATACCTAGTAGGTTAACTTATCAGATGAATGGACACGAGAATGCTAACAAGCCAGACTTGTGGGCTTCACTGGAAACCAAAAAGAAGAGAGATGTGGAAAGCTCATGTTTCCACTTAAGCAATTTTGTCAGGCTGGGCACTTCTGGAGTAAAATCTCAAGCCTATATGATAGCATCATCATTCATTTCTGAGGGTCCACTAAATATTAGGCCTAATGGGAAGTAGTCCACAGCTAAGAGCACAAGTAACTACATTGAAATGATCTAGGGAACTGGGAAGGTGGCTCAGTGGTAGAGTGCTTGCCTTGCATGCTTGAGGCCCTGGGTTCGATTCCTCAGCACCACATAAGCAGAAAAAAAAAGCCGGAAGTGGCGCTGTGGCTCAAGTGGTAGAGCACTAGCCTTGAGCTGAGGGACAGCACCCAGGCCCAGAGTTCAGGCCCAAGACGGGACCCCCCCCCCAAAAAAAAAGAAATGATCTAGGATGACCCATGTGGCCACAAAAAAAGGTGGATGTAATTCTACCTGGAGGCACAGAGAGGGTAGTGCAGGGAGGGATTCCACGGTGGTGAGTTTCAAGCAAACCATGCAGAGGACTCAGCAGACTGAGTGAAAATGGGGAAATGCGCTAGATGAAAATCTACAAATGCCTGGAGACAATAATCCTTCTGGTTTGCAATATTCTCAATCCTCGTCCTCACACTTTCTCCCCTTTCTTCAAAGTCCTCTTTGCCTGGAAAACAAAGACCAAGTATATAGTTGTTTTATTTTTTTCTTGGAGACCTGTGTAGACAATACAGGGACCATTAAACTGATTAAATGAAAACACTTGCTCAGCAGGGTGCCTTTGAGAACCGAGGGTGATGGCAGCAGGTGAGTCAAGTAAGGATGTGGTCCTTAGTAAGAAGGGGGCCCAGGCAGAAAAAGAAATGAAAAAAATCTGACTTGTCCCCACTCCCTTTGCTGTCACCTCAGCCCTCACATATCTGTTGTTGTTGTTTTTTAATAGCTTCTCTTGGTCTCAGTCTCTTGCCTTTCTCTTTCTCCCTTTGCTAAAGGCTGGAAATTCCTTGTTCTCAACGGAAGGGAGTAGGAGGGGACGAGGGGGTGGTAGGAGTGGGAGGAAAAGGAACAGACATCTCAGCAGCTCCGGCTGCGGGCTGCGGGGGCGCTCTGGGCCTCTGGCGGGGCCTGACAAGTCAATGATTTTTTTTCTTATATGTATATATATATATATATACATATATATATATTAGCCGCACATAGAGGCTTAGATACAAACCTAGACAGATACGGATAAACAAGTAGATGTGAAGAAACATAAATACATAGACTCAGGAGACTGTCCAGTCTAGAGTCGGCTTCGATTTACAGTTTCCCCATCCATTCTCCATCTGAACCTCAGGACAGACCTGGAGAAACAAAAGATCCAGGCACCAAGAAGTTTCCTTCACCCTCAGGTTTGCAGGCCGACCCCTTTCTGACTCCTCTAGGGGAGTGTGATCATACCCCTTAGCGGGATTTTTCTCCTTTCCTTCCTCTTTGGTCAGGCACCTGCTCCAGGACTCTGGAGTGGAAGCCTTGGAACTGGCTCCTCTCCGGACTTCTTTCCTGGACTCGGACCCAGGGCCTCTCCCCCCGCCCCACCCCGCATCCCTCCTCCCCAGGTTACCGCCCCCTAACTTCACGCTCTACCTCCACCCGCCTCCGACCGCGGGCGTCGCCCTCCAAATCCCCAGACTCAGCGCCGCCCCGAGGGGACCGGTGGGAGGGAGGGGGGCGCCGGGAGCAGAGGCTGCGTGGGCGGAGGATGTGCGTCACGGGGAGCGTGGGCAGGGGGAGGGCGGGGGCACGTGGAAAGCCGGGGCCAGCGGCTGGCAGCCCAGACTCCAAAATAACCGGAGGGGTGTGAGGGAGGGGCGCCACCTCCAGGGGGTCTGGGTACGCCCCAGAGCGAGTTTGTCTAGCCTCACCCACCACTTGCCGGACTGGGGGCGATCGATGGGAGGGGACTCCGCTCCCTCCTACACCCCCACTATGTTTGGCATTTAATGGGATGGAGACAAAAAAAAATTTGTGAGCTACTGAAATCCCCTACCAATAATGCACCCTTCCTCCCCTGCCTCCACCAGAGACGGAAAGGTCTCCTTGCCAGGCCGGAATGTAGAACCAGCTCCCGCCCACACCACCCACGCCCTGCTGGGCTGCGCCACTCAGAAGTGCAGAATGGCGGGGCGGGGCTGAGGTTTCGGACTGAGGGACCCTTGCCACCAGCCAGTCCTGTTTGGTTCTCAGCGCCCCCCAACCTCTTTTCCCCTGGGCCTAGAGCCCCCGCCTCCCCCCCACTTCCTCCCACCTCCCCTCCTAACCGTGGGCGGGAGTGTAATGGGAACCAGATGGGCTAGGAGAAACCAGGGGGGGAGGGGAGGTAGGTTTGAAAGGGGACTAGGCTCCTTGGAGGCGTTCCTCCTTCTTGCTCCTCCTAGGGAGTAATGTGGGGCGCCCCCGGCCTCCTGCTCATCTTCCACTAAGGCCCCCAAATAGATGACCTTAGAGTGGGTAGCCTTCTCATTCCGGCCTTGCTACCCAGCTGACAAGGAACAGGGCCCCATTCTCAACTAATACTGTGTTCTGAGTAGAGGAAGGCGGGATCGCACCCCCTCCCCCCCACCTTGTCTGCCTGACCTACTCTCACAAAACCAGACACACCTAATCAACGGGTGCCTGGGACTAAGTGGTGCCCTCCAACATACCGGCTCATTCCTATTCTCAAAACTTCAAAGCAGGGACGATGAAAGACCCCTCAGATTACTCTCTTTGGGGCCTAAAGATTATTGGACTACTCATAAGACTCTGGTAGAGCCCCATATTGATGCATAACTGCACTCTCAATGGGAGCGAGCTGCAGCCGAGGACACGCCGCGCGCCCCGCGAGCTGTCGCCAACTTTTTCCCCTACTCTAACATTCACGGGAAAGCACGGAGAGCCGGCCGGAGTGTGGGCAGCGGTGATCGTGTAGTCGTTTGGGCAAGCGTGCACGGCTGTGCGCTCCCTGTCTTTGTGTACCTGTGCGTGGTTGTGAAACTGTGCGCTCAGCTTAGAGGAATGGGGGGAGTAAGGGGGGGGAGTAGGAATGTAGCCGGCTAGGAGCTCACGTGGGTATGTGGGCGCAGAGAGGGCCGGCTGTGCATCCGGCGTGGGCGGCCCAGAGCGACCTCGCCCCGCCCGCTGGGTCCCTTAAGCTCCCCCTCCACAGCCCGGCCCCGGTTACCTCGGTCTCCAACTCTGCGCCCTGACTCCGAGTCTCCGCCCCCGCCCCCTGCTCCATACCTTCTCCCGCCCCCCAGTTTCCACACCTCCCTGCTGCAGTGTTTCGCTGGCCCAGAGACCCGGGCTCCCGCCCCCCGCCCCCGGTCCCAGCCCCCGGCTCTGCCCACGCCCTCCTCCCGCCAGCCCAGCAGCCAGCGCTGCGCCGGGCCTCGCTCCCCGTGCGTCCTGCGGGGGCGGAGGCGCGGAGAGGCGGCAAGCGCAGCCGGGGAGGGTGGGGGGGCAGAGGCACCGACAGAGGCGCGGAGGCTCGGAGAGAGAAGACGTGGAGGAAGGGACGGAGCCTGGACAACGGTGGACACGGTCTCACGCGGGCCAGAGTGCAGCGGGCACCGAGTGCCGGGCACGGATCGGGGCGGCCTGGGTGGTCTCCGGCTGTCCATGCACAGAGCGCCTTCTCCCACAGCCGAGCAGCCGCCGGGCGGAGGGGACAGCGCCCGCCGGACCCCGCAGCCCAGACTCAAGTTAGTGGGGCCAAGGGAGACGACGGGGTGTGGAGATGGGTGGAGCTGGACTCGGGAATGGGGTCCAGGGGGTGGAGGTCGAAGAGAGGACGTGGGGAAGCGGGACGGGGGTGGGAGGTGGAGACTGATGGAAATGAGGTGAGTTTCGGATTTAGGGGGCCGGAGGAGCAAACCCAGGATGGGGTGAAGCTGGATACCGAAGAGGGTATACTGCCTCTTCTCCATTGTTAGATGTACTCTTGTGGGCATGACCTGGCATGTGAGCCCCCATGCAAAGAATGCGGGAGCCCCTAAGCGCTAGGGGAAGCCCTGGAGTTGGCGCTGGCAACCGTGCAGGGGGTGAGGGCGCTCAGCTGGCTCAGGATCTGTGCTTGGCATTCAGCGTGCGGTCCCCGGCTCAGGCAGAAGAAGCTGGCGCCTTTGAGTTGAAAGAGCATCTACGGGACTTGAGGCAGGGAATGCCTCCAGCGTCCCTTATCTATCTCAACCTTGGCTCCCAGCATGGGGAGAGGAGGTACCCTGTGTAGTCCCTTCCTCTTGAGCGGCTCCCCCCCCTCCCCTGCTCCTCCACACATGTGGGTGGAAAATAAGGGAGGGGAGGAGAGTAGGCGGGAGTCCTTAGGCGGTTTTCGCCCACAGACGCTACCACCGTGGGAGTGTGTGGGCAGAACGGCCTCAGAGCAGAACAATTGAGGCGCCTGTCCCCTCCCCCATCGCCTGAGCTGAAGGAACAGGCCCAAGTTAATGAGGAAGGCCACACCGGGGGAGGGAACAACTGAGACAACGAAGGGGGCCCTGGGCAGAGGTCCTAGGGGAAGAAAGCAAGATGAATGAACAACACCAAATCTGGGGAAAGCGGAAGGGAGAGAATAGGGATCCACTTGGTTCATGGAGGGGGAAAGCCATGGAAGGGGCCACACCCCTCCCTCTCAGCTGGCAAGGGGTGAAGCTGACCAATAGTGGCCCTCAGTATCCACTGTGGGTAAAGCGGGGGTCCTACATTCACCTTAGCTTGGGGCTGTCACATTTAAGAGGCGTTGAGACTATTGAGTCTCAACCTGTGCAGCCCCTTCCTCATGAGGTCTTGAGTTGGGAGCTGGGTTATGCCAACTACAAGTGTGCTGATAGTCTAATGTGCTGAAGGTCATCTTGCCCCAGACCAGAAAAGTGGGGTAAGAGAGGCTTGTTTTCTTTTTTGTTGTTGTTGTTTTGGTTTTTTATTTCTTATACATAGGGCATCAGCTCTTAGTGCTTCTGGCTAGTCTGGAATGGCACTGGCATTCTATGAACCATGTCTGATTCTCAGGCTGTGCACAGCCTTGAGCACTGGACAGGGAGCATTCATAGGAAGGAGGAGGGGGAAAGGAGGCAGGAAAGAGGGCAATTGTTAGTGTGGGTAGGGACCCAGCAGGGGCATTTGCACTAACAGTCTTTCTCGTGCCTCTACTTCTCAGGGCAAGTGCCCGAGCCATGGCACTGCCTCGGACTCTGGGGGAGCTGCAGCTGTATCGGGTCTTGCAGCGAGCCAATCTCCTTTCCTACTACGAGACGTTCATCCAGCAAGGAGGAGACGATGTCCAGCAATTGTGTGAGGCGGGTGAGGAGGAGTTTCTGGAGATCATGGCACTTGTGGGCATGGCCACCAAGCCCCTCCATGTCAGACGTCTGCAGAAGGCCCTAAGAGAGTGGGCTACCAATCCAGGGCTCTTCAGCCAACCAGTGCCTGCTGTGCCTGTCTCCAGCATCCCACTTTTCAAGATCTCTGAGACTGCTGGTACCCGTAAAGGGAGCATGAGCAATGGGCATGGCAGCCCAGGGGAAAAGGCGGGTAGTACCCGCAGTTTTAGCCCCAAAAGTCCCCTTGAACTTGGAGAGAAGTTGTCACCACTGCCTGGGGGAACTGGGGCAGGAGACCCTCGAATCTGGCCAGGCCAGAGCACTCCAGAGTCGGACGTTGGGGCAGGTGGAGAAGAGGAGGCTGGTTCACCCCCCTTCTCCCCGCCTGCAGGGGGAGGAGTCCCTGAGGGGACTGGGGCTGGGGGAATGGTAGCAGGTGGAGCTGGGAGTAGTCCAGACCGGCTGGAGCCAGAGATGGTACGCATGGTAGTGGAGAGCGTGGAGAGGATCTTCCGGAGCTTCCCAAGGGGTGATGCTGGGGAGGTCACATCCCTACTGAAGCTGAATAAGAAGCTGGCACGGAGCGTGGGACACATCTTTGAGATGGATGATAATGATAGCCAGAAGGAAGAAGAGATCCGCAAGTACAGCATCATCTATGGCCGCTTTGACTCCAAACGGCGAGAGGGCAAGCAGCTGAGCCTGCACGAGGTGAGGACTCAGGTCCTCTCAGGATAGCCTTTGACTCCCAGGCCGCTTCCACAAACCTTTGAGATATCCTGTATCCTCCAGCCCTTGTTCCCTTCCCCCTTGTCCAAGACCCTAGGCCTTGATCTTCTCTATAACCATACACACTCAATTGAGGGAGAACCCTGTTGTTCTGCCGTGTGTCACTCAGAGCCCCAGAGTTATAGAGGAGGCTCCAGGCACTCTCAGAAAGCTGTGGGTGTTGTCTTGCTCCCTCAGAAACCTCCTGTGCATTGTCCAAACCAAAGCACGTTTCCTACGGATGGTGTAAGGAGGTCTAAATAGTGAATGTGGGGAGGATGTAAGGATTCTGACTGGCTGTCCTCTTGCCACAGCTGACCATTAATGAGGCTGCTGCCCAATTCTGCATGAGGGATAACACGCTGTTGCTTCGGAGAGTGGAGCTCTTCTCCCTGTCTCGCCAGGTGGCACGGGAGAGCACCTATCTGTCATCTTTGAAAGGCTCCAGGTAAGACCCTTCCCCCCTTCCCCAAGTCCTTCCTAGGTTGCAGTCCTGCCAAGGAGTTGGATCAAGTCCCAACTTCAAGCTCAGGCAACTCCAGGCCTGCTTCTCATCCACTTGCTTATTTTTCATTGGCCCGTACAGTTTGTCTGAGGTCTGTTCTAACCTTTTCCAACCCCTCAACCTCCCAATGGTGAATGGATTTGCAGCAGACTACCCAGCTAGTTTCTTTGCAGTTTTTTAAGTAGTACATGCTTCTGGCCAGATGTTTTATGTGCCCTGCTCATTCTGGAGCCCTCTTGAGGCTCACTTTCTTTTTTTCTCTTTCTTTGTAGGCTGCACTCTGAAGAATTAGGAGGACCCCCACTGAAGAAGCTGAAACAGGAGGTACATTTTTCTAGGGTGCTGTAGGAATGGGATGGCCTACCCCAAACCTCTTCCTTCCCTTGCCAGGTCCTCATTTCCCTATTTGGGGTACCCACAGGTTGGAGAACAGTCTCATCCAGAAATCCAGCAGCCTCCCCCAGGCCCTGAGTCCTATGTACCCTCATACCGCCCCAGCCTGGAGGAGGACAGTGCCAGCCTGTCTGGGGAAAGTCTAGATGGACACTTGCAGGGTGAGTGTGCTTGAGAGCAGTTCTCCTTTCCTTGGTGGGGGAGGTGGGAGTGGGTGGGTGGCAGAGTGAGCTAGGAGCCACTGCCTGGATCAGGGTTGGGAAGTTTGGATGGATGGGGGCAGAAAGACCTGTGGGTCTGGCTGTGTGGTTGAGGGTGGGGTTTCATTGGCTGCAGCCCCTTACCTGACCAGTGCCCATGCCCACAGCTGTGGGGTCGTGCCCAAGGCTGACGCCGCCCCCTGCTGACCTGCCCCTGGCATTGCCAGCCCATGGGCTATGGAGCCGCCACATCCTGCAGCAGACACTGATGGATGAGGGGCTGCGGCTCGCCCGCCTCGTCTCCCACGACCGTGTGGGCCGCCTCAGCCCCTGTGTGCCTGCGAAGCCGCCTCTCGCAGGTGAGGCAGCCAGCAGTGCTGTCCCCAAAAACCCCCAGCCACCCAGGCCCACACATCAGTCCTGTGTCCTGAGACCCTTGCGGGGAGGGAAGAGGGATATACAGTTGCCACCAAAGACAGTAGGAGGGGCTCCAGCTAACCAGACCTTGAGTTGAGGCCCTTACTGGGCTGTTTCCACTGGGGAGGGAACAGCAAAATGAGAGATCAGGATAGCAGGAGAGTCACCAGTAGGAGAAGCTTGGTTGGGACTTCCACTATTGCAGGAGGATGAAGCGGGAACTGAGTTGTGGGGATAGGACTGCCCAGCTTGGAAGCAGAGTCCAAAGGGGGTGGGGGGGGCGCTTTGTGTGTGGATAGGGGAAGAGAGAGTGGGCAGGCAGAGGGGCAGGGCAGTGGCTGGGCTGAGAGTGACGCAGCAGACAAAGCCACCAACCCTAGCTTGGTATTTTTAAACTCTGCGTGGGTGGAAAGTGGGGGCGGGGACTGGAAGGGGGGTTCTTGAGGGAGGAACTGGGAGGCTGGCTTCCTGTGTTCCCCCTGATTTGGCTACCCAAAAACTTGGGGAGCAGTGGTTAAAGTAGGTGGGGCTTGGAAGGGGTCCAGAGATGAGTGGGGGAGGGGGTGGCAGAGCCTGGGGAAGAGGGAGGGGGAGAGGTCAGAGCCAAACCGCCCCCGCAGCTCCTGACAAAACCAGAAATTCCAGCAGAGCAGAGCAGAGGCGGGAGAGACAGAGAAAGAGACACTAACAGAGACAGAGAGCTACACACAGCCAGAAGGGGAGGGGGGCTGTGCACACTTGGGTATGGAATCCCCCCCCCCAACTCATACACATTCAGTGGGCAGGAGGCAGTTAATTCAACAAATTCAGTTATCTTCACATCTTTCTTTCCTCAGTTCACAATCACGTCTGCCCCCAGCCTCTACCTCATGTCTCCTAACTCTTGCCTCCATTCCTTGCAGAGTTCGAGGAAGGGCTCCTGGACAGATGTCCAGCCCCAGGACCCCATCCTGCTCTGGTGGAGGGTCGCAGGAGCAGTGTGAAAGTGGAAGCTGAGGCCAGCCGGCAGTGAAGGTGGATTGGTGTCCTTGACCCGCAACCTAGACTTCTGGCTCACACAGACCCCCACACTCCTTCATTCTCAACATCTAGTCACCACCCCAGAAGGATCCTTCCGCTGCCCTTCTCCTGCCTCCCCACCTGCTCCATGGGCACAGGACTATGGGGCTTCAAGCAATAACACGCAGGGGCCTGGCAAAAGGACATGAGGAGGTTGCATGGTGCCCGCTCACCCCCATTTGGGGACAAGGACTCTGGCTCCACGGGTGGGCGGCTGGGGCTCTCCCCTCCCTCACACATCACACTCCCATTCTCTAGGTGGCTACCAGAGGTGTGAGCAGTAGGACTCAGTGTGGACATGGGGAAGGGGGTATTCCCTGGGAAGGTCCAGCCAAAAAAAAAGGCACCCTTTCCCCTCTCAGATTGGGGGCCTGGTAACACTGGACCTCCCCTCCTCTTCCTGTCCCCATTTTTGTGCTTCTAGTTTGTTTCTTTAATTTAACAAGTGCTGCAGTTTGCCTGCCCATCCCCATCTCTCCCCCAAGCTCTCAGCAGTTCTTTTCCTCTTGCCCTCTGGGGGATGTAGTTGGGGTTCCTTTTGCCAGCCCCTGGGAGACCCGGGTTGGATTCAGGGTCTCTCCAGGTGGGGCCAGACGGCAGCACCTGTGTGAGCACTTACAGCGTTTTTCTTTTCAGATTGTGTACAGTAGATTATTTATTTTGTTATTTTGGAATAAAATTTATTTTATGGCTTAGGATCCATGACCACCCCCTAAGAAAGGAGAAGGGGCGGTATGGGAGTGTGGGAGTGGAGGGAAGCTGGCAATGGATGGGAAATTACGGAAGAGAAGCAGCAGGCAGGGCCCCCAACACCCAAAAGAGCCACATAGCAAGACTTGGACTCACTCAGCGCCGTGGCTCTGGGTAACACTGGAAGTGTTAAGCTTCCAAAGCTACAGCTGTCCATACATGTTGTAGCTATAGAAACAACCTGGGCAGGACATTTGGGTTAATATCAGAGGCTAGCTAGCACACTGTGATGTCTTAGCCAGTGTCTCTTCAAGATGTCACACAAGCAGAAGCACACAAATAGATACATGTTCTATGTGGCCTTACCATAGACATGTGACATCTACAGGTAAACTGTCTCAGACACAGCTACACATAAAACAGCCCTTGGATCGCACAATCTCACTCCTGCACTGAAAGCTTCATTTGGCAAGAGTTTGGGATTTAGGGGGGTTAGTTTTTTAATCTGGACAAAATTCGGATATATGTGTCCAAACTTTTTCTTCTCATTCAGGGTTCCCTGGACTTTCCCATTCCCTCAGGGCTGGGGCCCCTTGGCTCCAAGGCCCATTCTCTTGGTCCCCAGCCTCTAGAGCAAATGCATGTGTGTTTCAATATGTATGTTCCAGGTCGGCTCAGAAGGAGCTGCAGCACCTCTGTGCCCTAAGCCAAGCTGTCACCCAACCCCTGTCCTGCTCAGCCAGTACTAGCCCTCCACAGTTGTGTGTGTTCTGAGGTGCAGGCAGGCATGCTGGGGTGTGTCTCACTCAGGAACCTGAACTTCAGTTCCATTCCACTGCTGGAAGAAAGGGTCACGTGTATGGTGGTAAGGAAGGAGTGGAGTAGCTTTTCCAGGGTGCATTCTCCAGGCAAAGTTTTCCTCCTGATGGAGGAGTAGCTGGAGATGGGAAGCACCTGGATGAGCAGTGTCCACAGCAGGTCCCTGGAGACAGTAGAAAAGCTGTCTCGGGCTCCTCCTCCAGTTTAGATCACCAACTGGGGTTGGCCCTTAGGTCCATGTGGGACATAGAAATCCCAGACTGCCCATAAGGGGAGGGCTGCAGGAGGTGCTGGGCTCCCAAGGACACTCCTCCTGCCTCCCCTTGGCCCTCGAGAAGAAGCTTGGTGAGATCCTGTTCAGTGGGAGGCAACAAGTGAGGGAACATATCTTCACCTGCCCTGCAAGCAGAAAAGGGAGAGAGGCAGTGGAGTAAGCCTAGCACCCACTCCTGCCCCTACCCAACATCCTCTTCAAGCTACCACTCACCAGGTGCCCCTGGGGAACCCTCCCACTGGCTGATTTAGACAGCTGTCTTCTGCCATGGACACATCTGAGCAGAGCAGGGGTTCAGGACTGGATACAGCATGCTCCTGAGGCTGGCAAGGCAGCAGGCTTCTACCGGGAACCAGAAGAGGAAGTGAGGAGGAGGCTGGGAAAGGATGAGGAGGAGCATGGGCTCAGAAGGGGCTTTGTCACTCACTGGGTGGGAGGCTGGTCAAAAGACAAATTTATCTGGCTCAGGCTGGGGGGCATATGCAGATGGGTCCTGAAAACAGGAAGGAAACAGAGGAAATGAGGCAAAGGCTGAGCGTTACAAAGTCAAGACCACTGGGTGAATGCAAAGCACAAATGACACTTAGTGGCTCACTGACTGGCCTTGGGCAAGCCATTTCTTTTTCTTTTTTTGGTCCTGGGGCTTGAACACTGGGCCTGTGTGCTGTCTGTCCCCGAGCTCTTCGCTCAAGGCAAGCACTCTACCTCTTGAGCCACAGCACCACTTATGGTTTTCTGATGGTTAATTGGAGATAAGAGTCACAGATTTTCTTGCGAGGGCTGGCTTTGAACTATGATCCTCAGATCAGATCTCAGCCTCCTGAGTAGCTAGGATCATAGGCTTGAGCCACTGGCGCCCAATTGGGCAAGCCCTTTGTGTGCTCTGAGATCAGTGTTCTCTGTTGCAAAATGGGGGTGGAGGCCTGAGGGGGTCAGTTTCTAATATTTCTTTGGACTTTGAACTTGATAGGTCTAAGTTCTCCATTTTCTACCCTGCCTCTCAACTCCTGGGAAGGCACTTCTTGTGTCTTGACTAAGAGTTAATAAGCCCCTGATTGTGACTTGGGAGAAAAATGTCTACACCATATGGAAGATGAAACAGATAAAACTCAGTACAGCTGGGTGCCAGTGGCTCACGCCTGTAATCCTAGCAACTCAGGAGGTTGAGATCTGAGGATCTCGGTTTGAAGTCAGCCTGGGCAGAAAGTTCTGTGAGACTCTTATCTCAATTAACTAAGTGACACTGTGGCTCAAGTGGTAGAGTGCTATCCTTGAGCAAAAAGAGCTCAGGGACAACACCCAGACACAGAGTTCAAGCCCCAGGCCCAACAGAAAGGAAAAAAAAAAAGCATAGCAGCTGGGTGGAGGTCAGGGTGGGGTGCATGCTTAGCATTCTTGAAGTCCTATGCTTAATCCTCAGCATCAAAAATCAATCAAACAAAAACCGTAAGTAAATGAGCCTGGATTTCACAGGCATGAGAGAAAATACTACCATAGGTCATTATATGAGCCAGGCACCATGTTCAGCTGTACACATATTATAAACTCATTTAACAGTAATATCATGAGGTAGGACCACTTTTGTCATTATTAGCCCCCACTGTACAGATGAGCCACTGGAGGCTGCCCAAAGCCAGCAAGTGACTGAGCTGTTATTCAAACCCAGGCAATCCAGATCTTGCCCTCCAATCCCTGTGAGTAGACAGAGGAGAAGGAAGGGTGATAGCATGTGTTCTCCCTTCTAATAGAAGAGCTTCCTTAGTAAATATAAACACAAATGCAATAGAGTTCTGCCTCCTCCTGCCCACCCCCACCCCCCACCTCCCCAAAGGTTCTGACTTACTCTGGGAAGGCTGGCAGCACATTGATGGACTCTTTTGTGGAAAGGCCTTGATATGAGGAGATGGGGTGAGAGTGTGGAGGATACACTGGGGACCTAGAAAAAGAACGTAGACCCTTTGATGCCAGTCTTCCCCTTGGAAACTTTCACACCCTGCTATAGAAGGGAATTTCTTCCATGGAAAGGAAAATTCCCTGCTTCAGCTTGCCATACCAGCTCTCCCAGCTGCCCATGCTGAAGACTTGTCTGCCCTGACCACTCCCCTCTGTATCTCAGGAGCTCCTTACCCCATCTCTGGGCCAAGCTGCATGCTTATGGAAGGATCAGGGGCCATTCCAAGATCATAGGAAGGTAGCATAGCAGGCATCTGGGGCTCTGGAGTAGGAAGGGGTTGGTCCCTGGAGGAGAGAAGGAGGTACATGTGACTGACAAAGAATTGAGGCCACCATTCATTTCTGCAAGTACCAGTCCCCAGCCCCACCCACCATCCATACCACCACACCCACCTTTCCACAGTCATTTTGATAGTAGCTGGGACATAACCTCGACCATCCTTTCCCATCTGTTCGTCTGTGGTAGGAAGGAAAGAAGAACTGTGTAGCATTCCAGGATTAGAGAGGAAGAGAAATGGGACTGGGGAGTAGGATGTTGGGCAGGTAGAAGAAGTGGGGGATACAAAAAGGGAAGAGAAGTCAGGGAGATGGGAGGAAGGAGGAGGTGGGTGACAGGAAGGAATCAGCGCTCTAGCTCACGCTTGTAATGGCTCCCAAAAGCTTCATCCTTGGGTTTCTTGGGGTAGAGGTTTTTGAGCTGAGCAAGATCTCGAATTCTGTCCCCCAGGGAGCGAATGGATAAGTCTTTGGCGGAGAATGGCTGGATGTTCTCTATCTGTGAGGAGCCTACAACAGGAGTAAGAACTTGGGTCTCCACTATCCAGACTTCCCCTTCCCCCAGTCCCACCCAGAAACCAATCTCAATCCATTCAGGCAAGGGTAAGACCTAGGGTGGAGGTCTTGAGAGAGGGCCCTCCACTAGTGTCCATTGCCATATATGACTTCACAGTGAGTAGTAGACGCTTAGACCACAGAGGAGGAAGATAAATTAAACTTTAAGAGGAACTTCCTGAAGATCAGGTTGGCATCAAGGAAGGTCAGGCCATTTCCTTCCCAGAAGAAACCCTAGAGAGCACAGATACAGAGGAAGAGGGCTGGCTGGGGTGACCTCACCATCCTGGCCCCGGATGACATGGGCAATAGTGATGCCCCCAATCTCTGAGTCACTGAAGCGGAGGAGGAAGGTTCCATCGGGTGCATTGAGGAGAAGGCTAGTGACATATTGTTTGCTGATGAAGCCAATGATCAGCCTGGCCAGGATGAAGAAGAAGGGAGTGTGGGTACCAAGTGTAGAGATGGAGCTCCAGGTACAGCTGCTTAGGCCACCAAGGGACACAAACTTACCTGTCTGACCAGTAGCTCTTAAGACAGCGTTTAGTAAGGTCCAGGACTCCATCAAACCACTGCCAAAAGGTAAAGCCTCGACCCAGCAAGATCTCCTAAGGGGTAGAGGGGAGCAAGGGTAAGTCAGGAAAGGACTAAGCTGAAGTTTGATTGGTAAGCACAAGGGCTGTGAGGGTCCACACGACAGCCAAGGACTAAACTGTACCTGTAGCCCACTAATGACAATGGGTAACACTCACACTTAACCATATACTGGACACCATTCCAGCCTTTCCATCTATCTGTCTGTCTATCTCTATCTATCTATCTATCTATCTATCTATCTATCTATCTATCTATCTATCTATCTATCTATCTATCTATCTATCTATCTATCTACCTATCTATCTGGAAGTACTGGGGTCTAAACTCAGGGCCTCATGCTTGCTCATCTTGCATGCTCCCTTGGCTTTCTACTACTTGAGCCACATTTCCAGCCCAGCTCTTTTTTTTTTCTTTCTGCAATACCCTGCTATATGTCACTAGCTATTCTGTTAACATCAGCAACTCAGTATGTGATTTCTTTTTTTTTTTATTGTAAAGATACTATACAGAGGGTTACAGTTACATGTGTGAGGT